CTGCCTTAGGGGGCACCCCAAGGCCAATAACACTGTGGTTCTTGCAGACTTGGAGAGGTACCACTTTGAACAAGATCCAAGAGAATTCTCTGGATTACCAGGCAGAGACTCTTGTTCTTTTCCCTTACTTTCTCCCCCTAGAATGGAGTCTCAGCTACCTGAAGCTGGGGGTACCGTGACACAAACATCTCTGTGGCCATCAGTGCAATGACTGCACTGAGCCAGACCTGAAGACAGCACAGCACTGGATCTTGCCCAAGGCCTGCTATAGCCACTCCCTGGCTACTGTCTATGTTCACTCCACACCCTAGGGCTTTACAATCAGCAGGTGGCAAATCTAGCCAAGCCTGTGTCCTTCCCTTCAGGGTAGTGAGATTACCCATGTTCCAGGCAGGTCCAGAAGTGCTGTCCAGCAGCCAGGGCCTAGAGTCAAAAGCCTTAGACATCTAGATAGTGTTCTATTATACTGTGGCTAAGCTGGCACTCAAACCACAAGACATAGTCCTTCCCTCTCTTCCGTCCTCTTTCCAAAAGCAGAGGAGCCTCACTCATGGCCACTGCCACCACAGGCCCATGGGAAGTACTGCCAGATTATGGCTAATGTTTCCTTAAGGCTCAAGGCTCTTCAGTCAGCTTGTGGCGAATGCTGTCTGGCCTGGGACTCACCCTTCAAGGCTGTGGGCTCCGCTGTGGCCCAGGTCAGGTCCAGAAATGCCATCCAAGAACGAAGTCCTGGAATCAGGAGTGGAATCAAGAGCCCACGTGGCGCTCTAACCCACTGCAGCCAACCTAGTACCTAAGGTACAAGACAAAGTCTCCTTTACTTTTCCCTCTGCTTTTCTCAAGCACAAGTATTCTTGCCCCATAGCCACCACAGCTGGGAATGTGCTGAATCTGAACTGAATTCCCCAAGGCCCTTGACATAGTACCTGGGTATCACTGCTGGTTATTCAGGGCCTAAGTGCTCTTCAGTTAGCAGGTGATGAATGCAGTCAGGACTGCGTCCTTCCCTTCGAGGCAGCAAATTCCCTTCTGGACCAGGACATGTCTAGAAATGTCATCTGGGAACGAGGGCCTGGAAAGTAGGCCTGGCAACTCTGACAACTGCCCTATCTTGCTATAATTGAGCTGGGATCCAAGAGGCAAGAAGAAGTCCTCCCCACACTTCCCTATCCTCTACTCAAGCAGAAGGAAGGTGTCTCTTTGGGAGCCATAATCTGTGCAGCCTGAGGTTAGTGTAGGGATGATGCCAGCACTCTTGTAGCTGCCCTGGCTGATGTGTCAGAGGTCACATGCCCCCGATATACTCTATTAAGATGAAGCATGATTATTACTAGAGGTGCCTGTTTCCATAACTGCCATTCTTTAATCCACTTGCCCTCAACTGTCTACCATCTTCTGGCTCCCAATCCCTCAAATCCTAAATAACACATCTAGCTTAAGTAACAATTACTCACTTAAAGGTGGGAAAATGTGGTCATTATATAGGGAGGGTAGCACCAAAATCTGCATCAGTCAAGGTTCTCCAGAGAAAGAGAACCAATAGGATATGTATGTATGTATGTATGTATGTATGTATGTATGTTATGTATGTATGTATGTATGTATCTATCTATCTATCTATCTATCTATCAATCATCTAGATATTTAAGAAGAGATTTATTATAGAAATTGGCTCATGCAGTTATGGGGGTTGAGAAGTCTCACAATATACCGCCTTCAAGCTGGAGACCCAAGAAAGCTGGTGGTGTAATTCAATCCAAGGCCAAAGGCCTGAGAACCTGGTGGGAAAATCCTGGAGTCTGAAGGCCTGAGGACAAGGAGCTCTGATGTCCGAGGGTGGAAGAGGGTGTCCCAGCTCTAGAATAGTGGAGTCTGAGCTGTGGCCCTCAAAGACACACTGGAGGGCAGACAGTGGCAGGCTGTGGGAGAAGCTGAGGTTATGGTGAGTGAAGTTCCACAGGTTACCTTGGACAAGTGCTTAACCTTTCCGTGCCTCTGTATGTACATCTGCAAAGTGAAGTGGTAAACTATGTGAGCCCCAATGTTCCTCATGCATTCTAGAATTGCAGTGCTTTTTGAGGGATTATAAGAGGAAAGAAGCAGTTACAGAAACAGAATTTTAAAGTGCTAGAAATCTTTGGTATTCAAAACCAAGGAATTGACCAGGGAGTTTTGCAAAAAAAAAAAATAGGGTTATGACTAAGATGGAACCAGGCAGCACCCCAAACGTTTGTGATAAAGGAAGTCTCAGTCCTCACATCAGAGGCACTTTTCACTGTATGCCTTTACATTTGATGAAACATGGTTGCATGGAACAATAGCTTGCAGACTGGGAAGCACTTGAACATAATGGTGCTTCATTTCATCTTCACACACTCTCGGGAGTCAGAAAGCATTGTTTCTACTCTCTCCATTTTATGAACAAGGAAAATGAGTTTCCAAGTAGTTAAGGTCACCGAGCTGAGTATTGGGCTCTGTTCTTATGGATCTCTGTACCCTTCATAGAGAATGGGGTCAGTGGGGTCTTATCCTTGAGCAGCCATATCAGAAGTGGGAGCCCTGGGCGTGGATCATGAGGGACTTATAGAACACACTGGGCCCTCACGAGGCTGGAGCAGGGACTGTGGTTGTGGATGCCATAGTTGGCCTGCTCTGGAGAGGGCTTCCTTTATCCCAACAAAGAGATATCACTGAAGATCTGGGGGTAGCTTGACTGGTCTGTGTGCTGACTCTGCTGGAGCTGTCTCCTAATCAGGTCACTGCTAGAGTTCCTCTTCCTAAATATTCCAGTGCCCTGACTTTGGTGCTCTGGCTTGTGGGATTGAGTCAATCTGAGTCCAGAGTCTACAAGAACTCCTGCTTCTCTGTCGTATGCTGCTATGTGAAGCCAAATGCTATTGTACCAGTTTTGTTGCTGTTTAGATTTTTTTTTGTTCCCTACAGTTTATTGTTCCAAAAACAGACCTATGATATATTCTTATCATTTGAATTTAATTAAGAACCAGGGCGGGTGCGGTGGCTCACACCTGTAATCCCAGCACTTTGGGAGGCCGAGGCGGGTGGATCACGAGGTCAAGAGATCGAGACCATCCTGGTCAACATGGTGAAACCCCGTCTCTACTAAAAATACAAAAAATTAGCTGGGCATGGTGGTGCATGCCTGTAATCCCAGCTATTCGGGAGGCTGAGGCAGGAGAATTGCCTGAACCCAGGAGACGGAGGTTGCGGTGAGCCGAGATCACGCCATTGCATTCCAGCCTGGGTAACAAGAGCAAAACTCCGTCTCAAAGAAAAAAAAAAAAAGAACCTTTTTCTCACTTACATAAATATGGCTTCACTGTTTCCAGCCAGGCCAGAAAAAGATGCCTGAAGACAGACTTCTAAATGATACGGTGTGCCAATTTCTCTGATCTTTTTAATGCTATAACTAAGGGGCCCTGCTCTGAGATGATGATTTATAATTTTGACATGCTGTCCTGTACCACTCTCTCATCACTAGGGAATACATAGAAATTCACTGAAGCAACTGCTCTCAGGAGTCAAAGTGGAGCCACATTGTCTCTTCTAATCTCACAAGGATCCTTATGTGATTCAGGATGATTACATTTTCAGTATTCTGAGCACTGTCTCCATATGACTCCAGCCATACTTAACCATTCCATGACTTGGGGGAGTTTGCAGCAGAATTCAACCTTTCATACCATGCCCATTACTGATGTATTTGACCTGTTGAGCCTCCAACAGGTCAACAGAAAAAGTGAAGTCTGTAGACCCCCTCCTCACCTCTTGAGGGGGTGCTCCCCCTCCTGGTGCTCCCTCTGGGTCCCCCTGGTTGTTGTAGCAGCTTAACTTAACTGTATCTGGGGCCAGGACCTGAACTCGCACCTCCTACCTCTTCATGTTTACATATACGCAGTATCTTTGCACAAACCAGGGGTTGGGGGAGGGTCTCTGGCTTTATTTTGCTGCTGTGCAGAATCCTATTGTATATTTTTTACAGTCAGTTTGTGTAATAAACTTTATTATGAAAGGTTTTTTTTTTAAAAAAAAAAAAGCTTCACAAGTGAAGCATTGCGGACTTCACTTTTTCTGTTCCAACAAGACTAACACAGAAGCTAATGTGCTATTTTGCCCTGCCATTTCTCTGCTTAGCGACAAGTCACCCTTGGAACAGCTGTTGCCTAAAGAACAGGAGAAGATTCAGGAATGTAACAATAGTTACCTGCATATCCCATGTCCTCTGCCCCTGCACATTGTAACAGCCTCACCACTTGGGTCAGTAAGAGCCCACACCTGCTCAGTACATCTTGATGCTCACTTCAGCTGTGGGCTTGGGCTAAACATCCAGCTCAGGGGATGCCTATTTGATACATGTCATAATCAGAAGACTGCCTCTTTGGATTCTGGAACTGACTCCATTTGTAGTGAAAAGTTTGGGAAGCATCAATAATGGGATGGCAGCATTCATTCATTCATATATGCCCCCAACTGGTCCTCCCTTACATAGTGATTGAGTGCTCAGTATGTGCCCTGTGCTAAGCTGAGCACTGGGCGTTCAATGTGAACAAAGAAGGCATGGTCTTAAGGAGGAGTTCCTATTTCAACAGAGTAGCCCAAGGAATGTCAACCACTTTTGCTACAGGTGTGTTAGTTACTGCCAAGAGTCTGTAAGTGTTCATGGGCCTCATTAAGCTCTGCCTTCCTTCTGCTTTTTGGAGCCTGGCCTTTGGTTGGCCTTGAATGAAGAGTGGGGCCCTCAAAGTACCGCTGTCAGCACTCTCCAGATGAGTACTACCCTGGGAGGAGCCAGGGCATGAGGAGGGCCAGGGCGTGGGGCCGTCTGAAGGCTGTGTCATCCCAGACTTCAGCCACAGAGGTTTTATTACGGAGGAAAGCTGAGTTGTGAGCACGTTGCTAGGCTGTGGCTATTTATTTTTATAAACGAGCCTCGTGCTTAATTTAGAAACCTGCTTTTTCTTTTTCTTTCTTCTTTCCAGCATCATCTGGTTGTCTGGCACCATCAAAGAATTGCATTTCTGACCCAACAAGAGCTTGTGGGTGGTTGGGGGTGGGATGGAGGCTGGGGAGAGGATTGATGCCAGCCAGCTGCCTCACGGGGTGCTGGAAACACGTGGCCATGCCATTAGCATCCTATTTGGCTTCTGGATGAGTTTCATCTCTGACACCTACATAGTCCTCGCTTGGATCAGCAAGATAAAAGGCAGCCCTGGTGTTAGTGCCTCCTCTGATGAGCCGCATGCCAGAATCCGGCAGAGAAAAAGGCATGGCCATGCAGAAGAGGACCGAAGTCAGGTGCCAGAAGCAGGTGACATCTCCACTCTCAGTTCTTTGGAGGCAGCTATTTTAATAGAGCCACTTTACTGCAGCTATTTTGACATGAAGATATTTTGGTTTGGCTCAAAAATTAAGCTGATAAATGTTAAGCTTTTTAAAAAATAAATGATGAGTAAAATAGGCATCTCGCAGGCCATCTGTGAGCTTTGCCTCAACCTTGATTTTCACCCCATTGTCAATCTAACCTCCAGGCATCAAGGGTATATGGGTTGAGAACAGATGAGGGAAAGGATCGGTAGAGGTTCAAGATGAGAGAAATAGCTTGTCAGGACCCCAGGAGAGTTGAGGTGCTTTTAAAGTAAAACAAAACAAAACAAAAAAAAACTGTGGTCAACCAAATTCAGAAATGGGACAGAAGTCAGAGATGGAATGAAAGATGGGAAATTGGTTATAAATCAAATACGGTGAGTCTGAATTTTGGCTTGCCTGTTTTGAGGCAGCTGTATCAAAATAGTTGTGTTGGAAGAGCTGCATGAAATTGTTAGGCAAGAAATAGTCCATCTACGATTCAAATGAGCTCATTTTGCCTCTTCCGTGGTCGATGTCTGACTCATAAATGTCTATACATGTATGGCTTGTGTGAGCCTCAGTTTCCCCACATGAAATAAAGATGATGATGTTGGCCCTTCCTCTTTCCCCCTTTTTGCTCTCCCTCCAAGTGACATGCTGAGGAATGAGCCAGCATCTTGTAAACTGCTCCAGGCCACCTGGAGAAATGTACTTGCATGACAGTCGGCTTTAGTATACGTGAGTCTTCTATGAGTAAAGAATTTTAGAGTTGGCAGCCGTTTCTGCCGTGTGACTCATTGGGCACAATGATGCCCTTAGCTACAATGTATGGTGTGGGTGATGAATTTGTTCTTGTCACGGCAGAGGACTGAGTATTCTTTATCCGAATGCTATAGATTGAGTTTGCACATGGGAACTAGATTAGCTCTGAAGAGAGTTGAAAGGAACCCGACATTTCTGCCTGCAATCTAGAGTTTCATTGTACAAACAACCGCAGTGGCACATTTGTGCCCAATCATTGGCTTCCCTTTGCCAGCAAAGAAAATCTTCTAAATCCTTCTGCCATTTGTCAAACCTGCCAAAGTCCCTAGAGGCAGTTCTGGTATAACTAAAGGGGAGGGAAGAGAATATTCTCTCTACCAGGTTTCGCTATTTCCTATGATGGTTGTTCACAAGGGGACAGCTTCTGCATCACAGGATGAAGCTTCAGTGATTTAGATGTCCTCCCAGCATTAGGGCAAGGAGGTAGGAGGCACCAGGCCCCAGCTTCCAGAATCCTGTCCTGCAGCCTCCCCGTGGCTGGGCAGCGGCCCTCCTTTGAGCCTTCAGGGTGGAAACAAAGGACACGTGTGTCTCTGCAGCACTTCCGGCTTTCACTCATCCCTGTTTTCAGAGCCAAAGCACCATCTCCTCTGGTACAGTTAATCTTTGTTCCTGCCACTGACCCATCCACCTTTATTACTTCTCACCAAGTCCCTGCCTTCAGATTTTCTATGGATTTCTCTCTTAGGCATTGCGTTCTGATTCCCTCCACACATTCATTTCCAAGTGCCAAGAACAACTCTGTTCCGGCAGGAGGATATTATTTGGCTTAAAAGATAAGATTGAGCAGTGGCTTCTCTCCATCAGCATTCTTTAGGTTTACGTAGGAATTCACTCTGGGAGCAGTTTAGAATCTCCTTCAAGCCTCTCCCAGACTGACAAAGTTTCTGTCCCAGAGAGTTACTTTGCTTCCATTGTTTCTAAATAAATGAGAAAAGCCTTTCTTTCTGAGCCTGTATGGAAGAGGGAGGAGAACACCCCTCCCTCCACGACTGCTTCCCTCCGCTGGGCGCACAGTGAATACACACTGGGTATTGTTACCATTGTGACACACTTAAGCCTCAACTCCAGTATTCAATGGTCTAATAAACCTTGAGTCCAACCTTTGGGAGCCACGCTCACCCTTTAGGGCAGCTCTTCCTAAGTGACTGCCAAGCATTCCCTGGTTGAGATGGAGGAGGCATATCCAGCCAACAGTGGCGTCTCTGTTGACATCACGCAGGCCTTAATGACACAGACTAAGCACAACAGCTGGAGCCCTCATTGGTGCCTGTTAATATTTTGGGTAAGTTTTGTTGCCCCATCCACCACTCTGTATAGTGATTCCGGAATTTGCTATTTGATACAGAGCAAATGAAGAGATGGAAGGAGCTGGTCACCACTCAGGCTGCAAGCAAGCCCATCATGCCCATCTCCCAAGAGGACTCCTTGTGTGCCTTCAAAATATCCTGATCCTTGACTTGATCTGCTTGGAATGATTGCAAACAATGGCCCAGTTTCCTCTAGACCAGAGGACATTCTGTGCTCCCAGAACAGAATGCTACACATGGGAACCAGGGAAAGGCAGGCTTTATGAGGTCAGCCACAAGGCTCCTGCTTCAAGCCTAAAACCAATGTAATTAGGCTAAGATTGAACAGGATAAAGCTTTGCAAGGAACATCTCTGGCATGTGAGGGTTATCCCAGGTATATGAATTGGCTGCTTTTGAGTCTTCCTATGACTCTTGGAGGTAAATAGGGCAAGTGTTATTACTCTAGTTCTACCAATGGAGAAACTAAGTCCTAGAGGTCAGCTAAAGAAGTTATCTAAATGACTGGCAGATGGGATGCAAGGAACCTCAAATTCCTGACATCTGTTCCGGTTTTTTCCCCTCACCCCATGTTGCCCTTCAGCAGGGCTTAGCAAAACAGCCAACACAAGTCCTAGCCTTTCCAGCTGGGCAGAAGTTGGAAACTGGCATGGATTTCCACTGGAGTTGCTGGGGCCTGGGGGCTACAGATACTGCTTCTGCTTGCTTATCATGGCTCAGGAGGGCTGAGACTATCTGGAGACTCAATTTTTACATGGTCGTGGTAAAGGGAGTACAAATGAGAAGAAGGTACAGCAGTATGCCTTTGTGTGTGTGTGTGTGTGGGTGTGTGTGGGTGTGTGTGTGTGTGTGTGTGTGTGGGTGCACACGTGAGAAGACATTACTGTCATGATGGCTATTGCAGGTCATCTGCAGCTTCATGGACACACTGGCTTCTACCTAAATCTTCTGCATCTCTGCCTGATGGCTTTTTCTGGCCACAGAAATTTGCTAAGCCCTTGCTTGGGGCAGCCCAGAAGAGCATCAGAGTTAAAGGTGCCTGGAGCAACCCTTAACCAATGAAGGATGCAGCTGGTTAAAGAAAAAAAAGGTTCCGTTTTTTTTCCCCGCCTGCCAAGAGGAAAATCAAGGTGTTTTCCACTGAGCCTTTGAGAGGGACTCCAGGGGAAGTATAACCCAAGTGCTCTCTGTAGCATCCTGCTCACGAACACCCCCTGTATCAGCTAACCTGCCTCTCTCTATCTTTGTTTCTTATCCTTGCCACCGTACTGCAGGTGTCTTCCTGGAGATGAGACTCTCCAGAAGGACACCTGCAGTACGGTGGCAAGGATAAGAAACAAAGAATGTGCCTGGGGAGGCTGAGGTGGGAGGATCACTTGAGCCCAGGAGTTTGAGGCTGCAGCGAGCTAAGATAACACAACTGCACTGCAGCTTGGGTGACAGAGACCCCATCTCAAATAAAAGAGAAACAGTGAATGGAATTAAAACAGTAAATGTTCATTAAAAATAATGCCAAATTGAAGCAAGCTTGGAGTTTTCTCGTTGAGCACATGGGCTTCTGAGCAGGTACAGCCTCAGCTACTCCTCATTACCTTTCACCAGGCAAGCCACACCTGTAAGCACTCACTTTCACCAGGCATGCCTGAATTGACTTACTGTCTAAATTTCTCTTAGCGCTGCATCAGGAGAGTTCTCTGCAGCATAGGAAGGTAGCATCAGAACTCCCTGGAGTAGGATCAGGTTCCTGGATGCTGCATTCCTATCAGTTCTCCTGCATTCCAGCAGACAGCAGATTTGATTGTAACCAGGCAGACACATGAAAGTAAATGTGCACTCCGAACATTTTGAAACCTGCCTCCCACAAAACAGAAGACCCTCTTCCCCTTGCCTTAGTCCCTGCCTTGCTCTTGACATTTTTACAGCCGACTTTGCATTTCCGACACTTCCCGCTTGAATTAGCTCCTGGTCTCTCCTGGCCTGAGAATCCTAGTCACGTGACCCACCCCAGCGCACACTCAGCTCTCTTTACAGCCAGGCCACACGCCTCCTGGCTTTGACATTTAGGGCCTGCCATTTCTTTTCCTCTTCTGCTGCAGTAAATCAGGACCAGTTAACATTCACTGCCCCCTGGGTGGGGTTTGGGAAAGCTGATGCTAGGCTGAGGAGGCTTTTCTGTGTGCAAGGAGGTGAAAAGCAAGAGTTGCCTTTCTGCTCCCATTCTGTGGCTTTGTGACAGTGAAAATGAAACTCTGGGCAGAAGCCCAGGCTCCATGTCCAGGCGTCTTGTCTGACTTACACAAAGCTGAGTGCTCAAACTGGACAAAGCAACAGTGGCTCATTCCCGGATTCTACCTTGTTTATGGCCCAGACCTGTACTGCTGGTTTAGCTCGTTCCCCTCAGAAGGTCTGATGTGGAATGGAATGATCAGCAGCCTGAGGACACAGAGGCTGTGCCAGTTCTGACCCTCCTTACCTCCTGTACTACATGCTGGAATGTGGGTTCAATCCAGCCTAGAAGCAGAGGGGAAGCAAACCTCTCCAATGCCGAATGGCGGGTGCTAATGGCATGAACGTATGGAAAGATAAAGTCATCAGAAATAGAGAAAGCAGAAAGCAAGGGAAGACAGGAAATGGGAGACAGCAAAATGAGAAAAGAGGAAAATGAATACACGAAGTGATCATTATGCAGAGGAGTAGCTGGCTGCCACTTACAACTCTTTGAGTGATACTGATGTCATTTGTCATCCATCCCTGTTCCAAAGTGGGGTCAGGAGCTAGGGGATGCGTGTGCTCTCTCCAGAAAAGACACACAGCTCAGATTTTCAAACCATGCTGCCTCCCATGGTTCACTAGAATTCAGCACAACTCTACTTGCTCAGCTGTGAGAGGTCTTAACCAGAGGGTTTGAAGGTGCTTTATAAAAACTATATCATGTGTGCAAATGTAAAATGATAGACTTTTCCTCCTGTTCATCACAAGACTTGAATACACACTATCAGCACAACCCCCACAGGTAATTTTAAGATGCAGGATTAGAAGATTCTTATCGAAAGAGACTATGACAGGTAGGCTGAGCATAATGCCTGTCATATAGTAGGTCCTCAATATATGTTTGAAATTGAGTTAATGAATAATTGAAAATGAGCGACACGTCAAGAAGAATAATTTAACAAGAAAATACTTGGTACTTTTCAGAACATCTGATTGTTTTTGCTCTGGGCCTCACGGATTTACGGATGAGTGAGCTTTCCAAGTGCACACTCATGGGCTGGCTGTGATCACATACACATGTGCCAGGGTGCTAAGTGCAAGGAAGATTTGGACAAGGCACAGTAATGGCAGAGGTTGAATCTGGCCAGGAGATTCTGGAGAGGTCTCTAGAAATACAGTTTCCAAAGCTGCTGAGGTCTCACCAAGCAGATCAAGCCCTAGAAAAAAAACATAAAGACTGCAAATGTATGAAACAGCTTATTGTGTCAGAGAGGTGCAATAGTACGGCTGGGTCACACCAGAGAGGTGTGTGTGTATGTGTGTGTGTGTTGGAGGGTGGGGCAATCGCTGGCTTTTTTGATTACCATAGGTTTTTTAGTGCCTTCTCTATGACCAAACACTGGCAGCAGTGGGTTTCACCTATTTAGCTCCTCCGGGGAAGCTGAAATCTCATGTATAAGCTATTGCCTTGTTGTGAGGGAGTGTGTGAGTATACCCATTTCTAAGGCCTGGTTTATGGTAGAAGAGAATGATCTTTTATCTGCCAATTACCTCATGGTGCTTATCTGGTTTCTAGTCTGTATTTCACTCTGCTGTGAACTACCTTAGGGCAAAACCTTCCTGTTTTTTGAGCACAGTGAACACAAAAGGGTTTTACTGAATGGATGAATGCATGGATGGATGGCGGCTGGACAGACAGGTGGCTGTTCAGAATCCTACAAAAGCCCTTAAGCTCTGCTGTTCTCTCCTAGGTCAGCAAAATTCATTTTTTTTAATATGAATACTCTTTGTTTATTACTAGCAGTGCAAGTCTCCCGGCAAGGTTCAGAGCCCAGAAGAAATCAGTATGAAATTTTAAGAGTCAAGGTTGGAGCCCACAAATAACTTAGCGAGAATGCCAGGTAAGGGCTGTATACGAGGGTGGCCAGCACAGACCCTGAGGCCTGGAAGGGAAGGAAAGGGTTTGGAGGCTTTGCAGACCCTCAGACTCTCAGGCCCCCCAGCAGTATGGGCAGAAACAAGTCCCAGAGCTGGAATATTTTGCACACATCTGCGGCAGAATGCCTTGGGAGCCAAAGGATTTGATGAAGCTCGAATCAGAGGAGATAGAAGGCAATTATGTTTCTGCATCCTTGGCTCCTGCCACCCTGAAGCTCCCTGGGGATGCACTTGTGGCATTTGGGTGTTTTTCTCACAAAGGCCTGGAGAGAGAAAAACAGCCACTCGCCATCTAATAAATTATCTATCATGTCACCGCTTCGGCTTGCCTCGTTCTGACACTTCTCCCTTTCTGACTGTAGACAATAATTACCCTCTAATTGCTTAGATAATCTTGCTTATGGAGCGACAGCAGCAATGAAAAGCTGTCGTTTGTTATGGCTCCTTCTGAAAGTTGATTTAAGCTGAATTACAACTCAGTTCGACCTGAAGAACAACGCCCACTCAAATGAGGCAAGGTCTTTGGAGGCCTGGAACTGGGTGCCAGGGCATGTTTCATGCTTCTTTCCTGGCTTAAAGGCTACACCTGACTTGGGAGAGGTCACTTATCAGCCTCTCTGCAAACAGGGCCCTGCAGTGGGATAGATCCCTGTGTGTCTGAGGGCTACCCTTCTCCCCGCCACAGTGGATAGAGAATGACTGCAGGAAGGCAGAGAGTGCACCCAACATCGCCCACCAACGAGTGGATTTCCCTGCAATTTGATTGGCCTTTGACTCCATGTCATTATCTCTTTTTTTCAAAGCACATAACCTAATGGCAGAAAAATATCACAAATCATTAAGATAATTAGTGTTTATTGGACACCCATATTCACATTGCTTGGTGCTGGGTGTGGTGCAGCCTGAGACGATTACTTCCAGCAACATGAGCACAGAGTCTGTGTGGAAGGCATGGGGCATGGGGAAATCTGTGGCAGTGGCATCAGACACACTAACGAGCTTCAGTTTTCAAATGGGGTCAAATGGAGGAAGAGCTTGAGAGAAATGCCTGAGTGTGAGCTACGGGGCAGGCTTGGCAATATAGGTCACTTGGTTGATTAATTCTAAGCTCTATTTATTGAGGACCTACTAAGTGACAAGTACGGAGCAAGGCACAAATAATTTTTAAAAATAATGAACCATTGCCCAGAGATTTTGAGGTGCTCACACTCTGATGGGAATTGAAGTGTTACTATACTATATCAACAGTTGGAATACAATATCCATGGAGAGTAAGGAGTATAAGGAAAGCATCAAAGACAGGCTGATGGATTCAGCCAGAGGAGATGGGAGCTAGCTTTGAAGTGGGCCTTGAAGCGTTGGTGAGCTTCTGTAAGGTTGGCTAAGAACATTTTTGCAAGCTGGAAGGACATGGAGTACTTAAAGTAACATAAAATAGTTCTGTGCAACCAAAGAACATCTGGGGGAAGGCGTAGTGATGGGATGCAGCTGGGGAGAGGCTGAGACTAGTGTCCTGTGAAGGATGTGGGCTTTACATTAACAGTTTGAGGTAGAAAGAGCAGGTAGAGAGCCTCACTCTGGCCAGTGTGGAGGGGACTGAATGGAAGGAGGGAAGGCCAGGGCCAGCAAGGCCCACCAGAGAGTGGGCACCATTACTGGAGCTACAGGAAAACCTTTCAGAGATGCATAGAAGATGGAGTTCATTTGGCTCTTCTGTTGCTTTTCTCTCTTCAATGGCTTTTAGGTACCCCTACACACGGTTGCCTTATAATTCTCCTAATTTTCTTATTCAGGAAGACTTTCCATATGTTTCTCTTGGGCTCTGAGTTATATCCTCTATTTCTGTAATGTCAGGCTGCACTAGTTTTGTCTTTGGTTGGGGTTGAGAGACACCAGGGCGCACACTCAAGTTAGTGGAAGTTTCCCAGCACAGGCTGGACTCAACGTGAAGTCCCTTCTTATGGCCTAAATGACTCTTTTCAAGTTGATAGATTCTCACCTGAAGCTGGAGTTATTTGCTTGAGGATCTGGACCCCTTTCTATGTGCTCCATCAGAGGTGTTAATCATTCAGAGGTCAAGGGTCAGCTGGTCTATAAGCACAAACTTATTGGACGCCTGCTGTTTACACATCACACTGCTATTCCAGGTTGTGCTCAAGAAAACGTCTAGGCTGTGAGTCTCTGCAAAAGCCCTTTAATCCTTTCCATTGCCAACAATGCTTGCTGCTGGCTTGGGACAGCCTACCTATATGCTGTTGTCAAATGAATGTCTCTTAAAACACTCACAAAGCCTGACACATATCAGTCAGCTGGACTCCCAGGGCCTGCCAATGTACACAGAAACAAGAGAAGGGCTGGTCTCTGGACTGCTTTCAGATAATAAATCTCTAGCCATATGGAGGAAACAGCCAACAGCTTCTCCTTTGGAGACGGTAAATCAATTTGCCTAAAAACAAACAAATCTGCATTTCTCTGAGCCTGTTTCCCATTTCCCAAAGGTAATATATTCTGGAAAATAAAACAAAAGGAAAATAATGGGTTGATTCAGTGCCTCCTATGTATGTGATTATCTGTGAAACATCATACTGGGTACTATAGGTTCATAAAGAAACCAAAGGTTGGCCTCTGACCTCATGGGGCTTATATTCTATTTGGAGATGTACAGAGCTAGATAATACATTTAGGGGCTCCAACCTGACATGATTATAGTCCTGCCCAGCCATATACAGATATTTTTTTAAAAAACAGAATTTATGTGTAAGCAAAATTTCTGCATCTTCTTATTGCAAAATTCTGGTGAATTCAACTGAAGATAAATTTTTATCATGTTCTGGTACCCTTGTTTTGTTGGAGCTCTAAACATGGGATTAATCTACCTACTAGTAACCTGGATGGGCCATAACTATGCACATCAGAAGCTGTAAAACTGTATACATCAGACGATATTACAAGAAGAAAAGTACATAGTTGGTCCCTGTGTCATTCAGTGTTCTCCAGAGCAGCAGAACCAACAGGAGAGAGGTATGTGTGTGTGTGTGTGTGTGTGTGTGTGTCTGTGTGTGTGTGTGTGTGTCTGTGTGTGTGTGTCTGTGTGTGTGTGTCTGTGTGTGTGTGCATGTGTGTGTGTGTGCGTGCACGTGCGTGCATGTGTGTGTGTGTGTTGAGGAAGAGGGAGTTTTATTTCAAGGAATTGACAAGTGATCGTGGGAGTGGCTTGAAAGTCTAAAATTTGTAGTGCAGGCTGGCAGGCTGGAAACTCAGGCAGAGGTCAAGGTACACTCCAGAGGCAGGATTTCTTCCTCAAGGAAACCTCAGTTTTGCTCCTAAGGCTTTTCACTGATTGAATGAGGTCCACTCAGACTAGTGACAACAACGTCCTTTACTTAAAGTCAAGTGATTGTATATGTTAGTCCCATCTACAAAATATTGCCATAGCAATACCTAGATGAGTATTTGATAACTGGCTATAGCCTAGCCAAGTTGACACATAAAACAGACCATCACAGTGCCCAGTAAAGGTGTAGCCATGAGCACTGTGAATGTCAGAGGTGGGAATCTGAGGATGTGATAGCTGGAAGGGAATTTAGAGATCACCAAGTTTAATCTCCTTCATGCACAGGGAAGGCGCCTGCCATGCTTGGTTTGTATGAAGTATCAAAAACAGGTTTTCCCAGTCTGGTGGCATGTTTTATGTGAGGGATTCAAGTGAATTTTTAAAGAAGCACATAGTCTGGATTCTTTCTTGATCAAGGCCTGATGAATCAGAATGTACATAGCAGACGTCCAAATAATATTTTTAAATTAGATCACATTGGATCTAGGCCTAAGGCTTATCCTTTGCTGACAGGGTCCAAGACTATCATTTCACTGATATATCCCTACGGTCTAGCCTAGTCTTGGTACATAATAGGTGCTCAAAAGCATCGGTGGAATTCATGAATAGCATGAATGCGAGGAATTTGGGCCAGTTGGGTGTGCAATATCCTGATTCCATCATGGGATCTAAGCATGAACCTGAGTTTCCTCATCTGTCAGATGGAAATGCTAGGATACACCTTTCTAACAGGTGTATCCAAAGGAGTATATGAGCAAATGCATATATTTAGCACAGCACTTGGCATATAGTAGGTGCTCAATAATCAGTAGTGAACACTATGACAATATTTCACACTATCCAACTCTAGCAGAGCACCTTTACAAGCCATGCACCCATCCTCCAGCTCTGGATGCTGAGTGCCAACAGCTTACGGCTACTCATTTTTCCAGAGAATTGCTCTCTACTGAAGTAAGAGTTGTGTTCACTAGGAGGTTATGGTTCCTGCCCCTAGTGGGATAGCCCACAGCCAGTGGCTGATCCACAGGTGATCAGGCTGCAGCCAGTCTCCAGCTGAGCTCTCCTCTAGCTTTTCTCCCTGCCTATTATGCTCCTCTCACTCTCTTTCTCCTGAAAGCTGAGCTCAATAAATCACTTGGACAAAAGTCTTTGTCTTAGGCTCTGCTTCTAGGGAACCTAACTTAAGAAACTGTTATTTGGAGAGAGCCCATAATTCTTTGCCTGTGCAATAATGAGCCATTTTCTGGTTGTGATTCTTATATTCAGACCCCTGGGTGAGTCTGCCACAGAATGTTCCTAGCTAGAAGAACAAGGCCTTGCAACTGCAGCTGGCAGCTGGCACTTGGCTCATCCACAGCTAACCTCCCCAATCAGCGAGGCTGGTGTACCCATCTTTGTGTTACATTTTGCTAAATTCTGCCTGGCCAAGTCCATTCAATCAGCCTAGCCTCTTCCGTAAACCAAATAATCACAAGTTCAACCACCAAGGCTTGAATTTCAGGGAAAACATTCACTCACTCACTCCTTCATTCATTCATTCCTCCAACAGTTATGGAGTGTTGTCCACATAGCCAGGTACTGGGGATACAGCCACTAACACAGATAAGACATGCCTTCTGGGAACTCAGTCTGGAGGGAAAATGGACAAATAAATAGGCAATTGCAAAAGAGTTTGTGAGCCATTTTATAATATGATGCTTTGAGAACACAGAGGAGATAAACCAGGATGGAGATCAAAATGGTTTGTTCTTCATTGCAGTTGACCTAAACAGAAATAAAGAGAATAAATACCCACTGGCACACTGCAAAGCAAAATGATTACTTCAAAGAATAAGGTGTCACATGTACAAAGGTGTAGTTTTAAGCACAAAGGATGGCTGCCTAGTGATGGACTGAATAAATAGATGTAAATGCAAAGGACTCTGCCTCCTGTGTTATTACTGCTGTAGCTTTTCTCCCACTCAAACACTCACTTCCTGGGACTCAAAGAAAGTGCAGCTGAATTAGACGGTTTTTAGCTGGGGACTGGCTAGTTCAGTGGAAATCACAACTGGGTTCTCCCACTGCCTTTCTAGACAACAGCACTGGGGCTCGCCCGCAGACAATGTCGGGATGCAGTGCTCTCACTGCACGGCTGCCTTATTTTTACTTATTCCTCTTCTGCCGTTCATCAATCGACTCTGGCAAGACATGCAGAGGTTATGGCCTAATTATGAGGTTAGGAATGTTAATTGTTCTATGTTGATATTAGTGTAGCTGGTGCTAATGGGAAAATAATTACTACTCTGTGCCTTTACGGCCATTTTCATTGCTCTCTTGTGGTTTTGTAGTTATTTGGCTATAGATGGTAATGACTTAATATGTGGCTGCTATTATTGCTCTGACTATACAACTGGGGAGAGTCAGAAAAGAGGAGGAGTTTGGGAGCAGTTAGAGCCGTTGCAATGCTTTTACTTAAGTTTTTTTAAATTTTTCTTTGCATGGGGTTCTTTTGGGCTGCAAGAATGTAAAATTCTAAAAATACCAGTGTTTTGGTGATTCAAGAACCCCGAGATCTTATTCATAAGTCAGCTGTTGGTGATTGTGTGTTGGGCTCTGAAAGCTAAAGGGTGCTCCTGGTCTCTCTGAATGCCACCTCCCACCCACTTTCCTGAATTGTAGGCCCAGAAGTCAATCTAGATCTCTTCATGTCACTTATTCTCCAGTGCCCCACCTCCAGACATTCTTGAAGTCCATCAGTTGTATCCTGAGCATCTCTCTTCTGTTGCCTCCTCTCTGGTCCTGATCATGGCTCTGCTCATTTATCATTTCCTTGGACTACTGATTGGCAACCACCAACTTACTGGTCTCTGTGCCTCTATTTTCAGACTCTTTCGGTTCCTTATTTAAAATTCTGCGATGGCTCTTCATTGACTACAAAATAAAATACAAACTCCTTTTCAAGACCCTTCAAGAGCTAACCCTTGCCCGTCTTTGTAACTTCTTCTTCCACATTTCCTCCTCATTTCCAACAGCCCTGTGTAGCACTCATTACTGCTCTTCTCCAGAACATCATGCTGTCTCCTCTCACCTCCACGCCGGTGCATATGCTGCCCTTCCTCCGTGGAATGCCCTCATCTTCCAGAGGCTGCTTCATTTGAGAGCCTTCCCTGATTCATCTAGGCAAATTAACAGAGAATAACTGTTTTATCTGCTAAATATTAAACTCCTGAAGGCAGGGTCTATATTTGTCTCATTTACCACTGTGGTCACAAGCCTGTTGTATCACCTGGCCTATGGAGAGTACACACTAACTATTCAAAATAAGGAACCAAAAGGCTCTGTTACGGTTTGGAATATGGTTTGTTTCCAAATATGGTTTATTTGTTCCCACCAAACTCATGGTGAAATTTGATCCCCAATGTGGTGGTGTTGGGAGGTGGGGCCTAATGGGAGGTGTCTGGGTCATGGGGGCAGATCCCTCATAAATGGTTTGTTGTGGTTCTCACCAAGTGACTGAGTTCTTGCTCTGGGGAAGAAAGACTACTTGTTGTGGGAATGGGCTAGTTTCCACAAGAGTGGGTTGCCATAAAACCAGGAGCCCCTTAGGTTTTGCCTCTCTTCTCAAGTGTCCACCTCCCCTTTGACCTTCTCTGCCATGCTTTTTGACCCAGCACGTGGCTCTCACCCGATGCTGAGCAGATGTTGGTACTGTGCTTCTCATAGTTTCCAGACTGCAGGGCTGTGAGATAAATAAAGCTCTTTTCTTTTTAGGTTACCTAGCCTCAGGTATTCTATTACAGCAACATTGAACAGACTTAGGACAGTCTTCAAGACAAGACATACTTTTGACATCTACTTAGACACACAGATTAAAAGGTTACATAACCACATCTCTTTCTAGAGATGGGTTGCAAATGAATGTTTTCATGCATAACATTTCAAGTACTATATTGAAACCTCATCAATTCAGACTAGTGGGAGCAGGAAAGAAAATTGTTCTTTTAAATTTGTGGCATATTTCAATTTCAGGCTTTTTCCCCACCCCAGGCCAGTTTATTTCAATATCTACCAAGCACCTACCATGTGCTAGGTATGGTCCTGGACACAACACTGACTATATGAACATAAGTATGACACAGTTTCTGACTTTGAGACACCTAAAGCCCTTTGATAAACGCCTTTCTGTAGACTTACTACACCTATATTCACTCTAAATATAGGTTGTTTCTTTAAATCATATGGTCATCTCTGCCTGGTTTTGTCTGGAACTTTCCTTCCTGCCTTGCCTATTTGGTTAATTATTACTTGTCTTTCCCACATCAAAACCTTCTTTGGCTAAGACCTCACCTCCCCTTGTCTTCCTCCTTTCCTCCCCCACAGTCCTTCTCTGTTTTCCTCTTCTGTTCTCCTAGGACCCTCCTTAGTCCTGTCTATTGTACCATCCTCACGCATTTCCTGCTATTCTGCTATTCTGTGTGTTTCTTCAGGGCCGTGACCATCATTTTATTCTGTCTCTCTAGCACAGTGACTGATGCATGGGAGATGTTCAATGATCTTTAATATTGTTACAATGAATGAATAAATAAATGAAACTAGAATTTTTAACTAGAGATCCTGCATGTCTCTTTTTAATGAATTGTTTACAATTGGGAACACTCACTCCTAGAGACCTAGGCCCTCAAAATTCCAGTTTTCTCCCTCAATCAACTAAGTTAACATCTCTTAGAATATGTTATTATCTCAGGATTGTATTAGATTCAGCCATAGGAAATGGCTGTGTTTTGTGCATCAAAAACAGTTGAATACTAGCACATCATACAGTTCAAACTAATACTTAACAAATCTGCTCAATACTAATGGTGCCAAGGTGAACAACAAAGTGTCCATATTCAAATGTTCCAGGTTGCAAATGAGAGGACTGGTTTTCTTATCTCATTCTGGGTTTCCCTGGCTATGTCTCCAAAGCCATTCAGAAGAGTCTACTAAGCCTGCTGCTGCTTTCAGCCTTCCTGGCTAGGTCCACAAATGATTAGTGTTGTGCAGAAATTATCCTTTTTAGAGTCACTTAAGAAAGGTTAGCATTTACAGCCAATTAGCAAAAGCCCAGTACAATTATAGTACAGATGTACAATAATTGTCTTTGCATACCAAGTGGCACAATAGCTGTTATTCATGCCATAGAGAGACTGTCCAGTTGTTTGGGGGATGGTAGTTTGGTGAAGTCCCAATTCATATTGCTTGTCCTTGGGGCTTTAACTCTGCAGCCATGCTCTTGTCCTATGAGGCCGATCCTCCCACCTTGCCCCAGGACCAAGCTTTTGTGAGCTTCACAGCCTTTGCCAGAGACTTTGCTCCATTTCCAAAGCAAATGGTGCCACTGACTGTCAGCCTCTTGCCTCATTTCTTGTCTGTCACTTTCACCCCTTAAATCTCACAGCCAGTGTTTCTCTACAGGAACCACCCTAGACTTCCCTCCTTCGTGGAGACTGCATTTTCTCTGGTCACTCAAAATATCATTTCAGGATGTTGACAGATCACTTGGGAACCCACCCTCAGCACTACTTTTACTTGGCTGATGTTGTCTGGTGCGCCTCTCTGTTCTTTACCACCTCCAGAGAGAAGGATTGAGAGCTAACTAATCCGAAGGAGCAGGAAAAGGGATGGGAACGTAGGCCTGCCTCCCAAAGGATCTTCCTTTTGCCATCAGTCTGGTTCAAATGTCATATAACATTGGTCAAAACTCAGCCTCCACTCACCTCCCTCCTCACACCTCATATTCCCCAGGCTGATATGGAAAGGTGGAGGAAGAGAAGGCAGAAGGGAGAGGTGAAGCCCAAGAACCTGAGTACTTCTCCCCAGCAAGACTCAGGGCTGCTCTGGGCATTTAGAAGCTGAGTGTGCAAATGTGCTATGTAGTTCAAGGCCACCACCGCTGCGGAGGCCAAGGTCACCTTAGGAGGAACTCTAAGCTGGCTCCCAGGGAGGGGTGCTTTCAGATTTCCCCCATAGGTAAATTCACCCTTTTCACCCTCCAAGCAAATGAGTCCCTGTTCCCGTTTCCCATGGTTAAGTCTCCAGTTTAAGTCTTTGGTCTCCGCTGATCTACCAGCTCGCATCTCTCTCCCAATCTCTTTCCTTTATCCTGCGACACCTGCTGAGTGAGGCACATAGGGTCTGCAGTCACTCCAGTGTTCCTTGTGACTGTGAGGTCATGGGCTAGTGTTATCACTTTCTCAGAGAGTCTTCAAAATTATCATGAGGAGGTGAGGCATTCATCTCCTGCGAGGTGTTTGTGTGGTCAGATAAGATGATGGCTACATTCCATTCCAGTCCCGTCATTCAGTCATTTTTCCTTAGTGGGCAACTCCAGGGAGCCCCTGAGAGATGTGACAGTCTGAAGCACTCAGCTAAAATGGAATTCCAAACATGGCACCCACAACTTGGGTTTCTAATCATCCATCCGTATGTCTGCATGTAGTCTCTGATTTAGGGTGTAGGTTCTTCTGTTTTTTGTTGTTGTTGTTTTTTTTTTTTCTCCTGCCCTTTGAGAGTTTAATAAAAGTCAGGGGCATCTTGTAAATGGTGACACAAGAATCACTGTCAAAGACAGCTCTTGTACAATAACATATAGTACAAATATTAATGTGTGTGGCTTTATCAGCTAGATTGCATGTCAAACAGCCCCCACACTTTTTATCTGGATAGGTGTTTAAATCTGTGCCTCAGTTTCCTTGTCTGTAAAATGGGAGTTATAACAGGATGTACCTTAGTGTGCACTGTAAAGATTAAGTGACTTAGTGCATAAGCGCCCCCACACCATCAAGAGCAGACCACGGGCCAGTCCTCACACTGGATTCTTCTGCTGGTTTTTCAATGTCGCCAGTTCTGCAAGATGGCTCTCTCGTCCCCATCTCACAGACGAAATAAACTCAGAAGGGTTCGACGACGCAGTTAATGCTAAGGGCAGAAAACGCGGGTCTGTCTGGAGTCCGCAGCCACAGCTAAGATACCCCTTTAAAATCCCGCCACACGGTTCTGAGAGTCACTCGGTCTCTCTCCCATTTCTGTCGGCGTTAAACGGGAATATCACTATCTGGGCCACCTCGCAGTGAGATTCCAGCTAGAAAATGTTTATGCAGGTCCGCCGTGGGCCGCGAAACCGCGGCGGGCGCTGGAACCACGACGCCAAACACCGCCAAGTTCAAGGAGCAGCGAGGCGAGCCCAGCCGAGGAGAGTTGGGATCCCGCCTCCAGGCCGGAAGCCGGGGTTGGGCGCGCGGCTGAGTAGCAGGCACGTTAGCCAATAGAGCCGCGGGAGACGGCAGGGGCGGAGCTGCCCTTTGGCCGCGCTCGGCCTTGTGGGAGAGCCAGCGGCCGCGGGCGAATCGGCGTTCCGCTCTTCGCTGCGGAGGGTCGGCGGAGAGCCGTTGCCTGTGGGGCTTTGTCTGACCCTCGAGCGCTGACGGCAGGAACCGGAGAATCCTGACGTTAGTCCAAGGGCCTGGCCAAATCTCGTTCACGGGAACTGCAGGCTGTTGGTGAAGTCACGGCGTCGTGCCAGTGGCCTCGACCCCCTCTCGCCCCAGGAGACCCTCATAGGCTGTGGACTCTGGGCGTCGGGACCCCCGGCTTCACTCTCATTCCTGAATGTTAAGCGGGCAGGGCCGGACCGGGAACAGGGGAAGGCTGGAGAAATAGCGGGGACGAATGTTTCTCCCGGAAGCAGCCATTTGCAGGCCTCCCAGAAGGAAAAAGTCTAGAAACAGTGGGATTTGGGGAACGAAGGACGTGGTGGTTCTCACGTCTTGAGGGGCTCCCCTTTGCTTTGGGGACACCGCCGCCTCTCACCTGCCCTTCTCACCGTCACGCTCTTCTGACCGGACTTCCGGTCAGGCCCTCCCCCGCCCCGCCGGGGGCGACTGCCGCCAAATGCTGCGGATCACCGCGTTCCCCAACGTAAACCTCCTCGCAGCGTTTTCCCGCTGCCCGCGAGACCAAGGCCTGACACCGAACCTGGCTCTAGAGGCAGCGGAGGTTCCGGCTTCCTGATTCCGGTTCCAACCCCGTTTCTGACCACTTGCCACTCCCTTTCCCCCAGTCCGCGGTTTGTGACGCCGGGCGCGGTGGCTCAAGCCTGTAATCCCAGCACTGTGGGAGGCCGAGGCGGGTGGATCACGAGGTCAAGAGATCGAGACCATCCTGGTCAACATGGTGAAACCCCGTCTCTACTAAAAATACAAAAAATTAGCTGGGCACGGTGGCGCGTGCCTGTAATCCCAGCTACTTGGGAGGCTGAGGCGGGTGGATCATGAGGTAAAGAGATCGAGACCATCCTGGTCAACATGGTGAAACCCCGTCTCTACTAAAAATACAAAAAATTAGCTGGGCATGGTGGCGCGTGCCTGTAATCCCAGCTACTTGGGAGGCTGAGGCAGGAGAATTGCCTGAACCCAGGAGGCGGAGGTTGCGGTGAGCCGAGATCACGCCATTGCACTCCAGCCTGGGTAACGAGAGCGAAACTCCGTCTCAAATAAATAAATAAATAAATGAACAAGCGAGTTCTAGAAATAGCAGTGTTATCAGAGTAAAAGAACCCGTTATAATCGGAGTGACCGTGAAAACCTATTGTGCTCAGGTATCAATCACCTCAGATGGGGAAGTCAACTCTGTCCTGGAACCCAGGGAACCTGAAGTCATGTTTGCTCAGCTACTGGATTATTCTGCATAATCTGCCACATGTTGCTTCCAGCCTCTGTTCCTTCGTTTATAAAATAGGGCCAGTGAAGGAATGTTTTCTATACTCATATTTTTACCTTTATGAACTACTTCAAAGTCCAACAGAACAGAGAGAAGCACTTTGCATATTCAAAGTATTAGCAACAGACAGTAAGATGCTACTATGAATACCGTGATGCTATGAATTACCTTTAATATCCTTTCCTGGGACACACAGAACTTGTACTCTATCTCTCATATAAGAGAGTGGTCCCTAGCCTTTTTGACATCATTCCTGAATGTTGATGCCTATGAGGTAAACACAGGCACCAGGGGACTGGTTTTGTGGAGGACAGTTTTTCCACAGACCAGGGTGGGAGTGAGGGGAACGCTTTGGGATGATTCAAGCATATTACATTCATTGTGCACTATATTTCTATTATTATTACATTGTTATATATAGTGAAATAATTATACGACGCACGGTAATGTAGAATCAGTGGGAGCCCCGAGCTTGTTTCCCTGCAGCTACACAGTCCCAAATGGGGGCGATGGGAGGCAATGACAGATGATCAGGCATTAGATTCTCCTAAGGAACTTCCAACTTCGATCCCTGGCACGCGCAGTTCACAACAGGGCTCACACTCCTATGAGAAGCTGACGCTGCTGCTGATCTGATGGGAGGCGGGGCTCAGGTGGTAAAGCAAGTGATGGGGAGCAGCTGTAAACACAGAGGAAGCTTTGCTCACCTCCTGCTCTGCGGCTCCGTTCCTAACAGGCCACGGACTGGTACCAATAGGTGGCCTTGGCGTGGGGAACCCCTGATGTATGATACCCGAGGTTTATCTTTATATCAGGCATTCATTTAAAACACCCCACAGATGTCTTTTCTCGTGGCTACATTTGGGGAGCAGCCTGGCTTGCAAGCATTGACCAATTCTACTCACCACCTGTACTTAATAGAGGGAGCCATGGGGCCTGGAGAGAAGATGTAGAAGAAGATACCAGCTAAGGAACCCAGCTTAGATGAGGTAGAGATGGCTTTGTCGCGAAACTTTGGGAATTAATGGTCACAGAGGAATTGGAATACCATGAGAAATATTAGAATGTGGAGTCGTGGGCTGCTGTAGGTCCTTGCTCATTCCACCCTCTTAATTGCCTCATTTTCTCTGCCTTCAGTGCCCTTTCCCAACCTGGAGTGCTTCTCTCCCTTTCTTCCCCCAAACTCCCAACATGCATATATTTTTCACTTAGCTAACCCTTGAGAGATATAATACATGTTGAATGAATGAATGAAGAAATGAAAAAATTATGGTTGGACCGATGGACACCATGGGCACCAGAAGATCTGAGTTCTTTCTTGGATCAGCACAACAACCTTGTGAAATAAGTAAGGCAACAATTTATGGTGCCATTTTACAAATGAGGGGACTGAGGTTCAGAAAGTTAAGCGACTTATTTGAAGACATTTAACAAAGTGGCAGAACTGGCCCTTAACCCTTAGGATTTTTTTCCTCCCACATCATAATTCTTGAAGGCAAGAAACTCTTAATTTCCATATTTTCAACTGACAACAAGCCTTCTTTAGAGAAAAGAATGTACATACACCTGTCTCTTTCACCACCTCCTTCCCTAGGCAAATGACTGCAGAGGCGAGCCAGTATTCACAGGCTAATTTTACAGACAAGTCTAAATGGAAAGTGGCACCTGTTAGGAACATAGTCAAGAACTGGACATCATGAAATTTCAGCCCATTTTTGCACGTTTTTCTAGTGGAAGACACAGTTCTCGGTCTATCAAAGGAGTCTGTTTCCATGGCAGGGGAGGAACTGAAGGATGAAAGAAATAATAGAGCATATTTTCTCAGAACTATTTCTCCAGAAACACGGATAATTCAAAGGGCAAGGGCAATTCAGGGATTAGAAGGACAGCAGTGGGTGAGCTCTAAAAAAATAGAACAACCCTTTAGGTCTCTTCCAAGGGACAAGATAAAAGAGAAACTTGGGGAGGAAGATGTTGATGTGAGCACATAAGCCTCACCTTCTTTGCTTGCTCTGATTCACATCTGTTGCTATAGACTGAAGCTAGACTTCCCAGGTCTTGAACCCTGGCTCTACCACAAACTAGCTTTATAATGATTCTTAACCCTAACTGCCTATTCCCATCTCGTAAAGTGGGGATAATAATAATTAACGCCTCCCTTGTGGATGTTGTGAGAATTAAATGAATTCATTTGTATTAATTCCCTTAGGTCAGTGTCTACACATTGCTAATGGTATTGTCACTATCTTCATTATAGCTCCCTCTTGGTAATTGAAGCAGACCATATACTTTTAAGATAGTTATTCTCAACTGGGTTTTTAAAAAGAGGGAAAGATTGACCAGATGATCTGAGGTGCTTTTATACACTCTGGCTTTCCTCCCCAATCTTCCATTTCTACCCTTCTGGAAATTAAGACTGTTTAGGTCTGTGAACTGGGCCTGGTGGCCCACATGTATAATTCCAGTGACTTGGGAAGCTGAGGCTCTGAGAGGATCACTTGAAGCCAAGAGTTTGAGACCAGCCTAGGCTACCTAAAGAGACACCCATCTCTAAGAAAAACTTTTTTTTTGACTTAGCTAAGAGTAGTGACGCATGCCTGCGGTCCCAGCTATTCAGGAGGCAGAAGCAGAGGATTGCTTGAACCCAGGAGTTCAAGGTTGCAGTGAGCCATGAGCATGCCTCTGCACGCCTGGGCAACAGAATCAGATCCCAACTCTTTAAAAAAAAAAAAAACACTATAGGTCTGTGATGAGGGATGGGCATGTGTATTTAGAAAAGGCAAATCTGAAATGCTTTGTTTCATCTTACCCCTAAACCTAACACCCAACCAGAATCCCATCTTAAAGAGATTTCTCTGGAGACTAACAGGTATATTTGCTTTATGAGGATTACCAGGGTAGTACAAGCTTGTGTAGGACATGAGCATATTATGAAGTCTATCAGCCTGTCTAAGAAGAGCTGCCTTTAAACCAACCCAACTTGTGATTCCAGTTTCCTTTTGTATTATGGATATGCTAATGAGCTGCCTCAAACTTAGAGATGTCATTATCATGATGACACTCTCTGGGGAAAGCCAGATTTAAAGTTTGATCATATGGTATTTTACTCTGCAACTGACTTTTTTCCCACTTGATAGTCTGTGTGGATATCTTGCTAAGTTCATGCATGTAGATCTCATTCTTTTTAATAGCCGCATGATATTCCATAATGTATCTTTTCCATGCTTTCTTCAAACATTATTTGCTAGAAATGCAGATTGTTTCCTACCAGACTTTTTTTTAACCATGGGGCATCATGTTGTAATAAACATGCTTGAACATATTTTTGTATATGCTAGGGCATGCTTTTCTTTTAAGAGAGAATCACTCAAATGGAATCATTAGGTCACTAGATGTGCACTTTGGTAATTTTAGAAAATATTGCCAGAGAGATTGAAACAATTTACCACTGCCCCTCCAGCTTCTCCTGGGCATGCCACATACACTGTGGGAAGGGAAAAGGCTGACGTAGAACACCTTTAAGTGGATGCTGCCGTGAGGATGACAAGACTATGATTCATGGATCCTGAAGTGTTTTGGATTTTATGGGTCAGCTAAAACCTCATTTAATAGCATGCTGCCTGTCCTTTGCTTAACAACTGCATCCATGATGTGGCTGAATTAACCACCTACCCTTGCACGACCATAAGCATCAATACCCCCTTCTTCTCTATTCCTAGTTTTGTGTGATAACCTGCTTGAGAGAGAGAGGGAGTGGGTGGGAGCAGATGCTAAAAAAACACTGCAGGGGTAGGAAAAGGAACTGTGAAAGGGGAATTCATGTACACTGAACCCAAAGACCCTAGGAGAAATGACAGGCTGCAGGACAGAATCTCTTTCCTTATTTTCATGTTCTCTCCCTGCTCAGAGACATTCTCAGTATAATAGCTTCTGTAGCACCATTCTGCAATCTTTCGCCAATCCAAGAGACTCTGTTGTCACGTTTCATCAACTGTGTTATAATTCCCAATAACTAGCACACATTGATGTCCTATCCCTGAAAAGCTGGCCCAAAATAAATGGCTTCAGGGGACTTAATGATAAGTCAGAGGCATTCTGAATGGATTCTGGAAGTACTCTAAGTCAGAACAAATCCTCGCCGGAATCCAATTTGGCTGTTTCATTACCAGTTCGGTCTCCCGCGTGCAAAAAGATGATAAACAACATTGTAAAGATGTAGATGAGATTGGCTTTTGTGACCTAATGTTTCTGGTGAAGAGAGAAGTACACGCTGTTAAAACAGGAAAAATGCACACAACCCACTAGCAGCAGAATA